CTAGACGAGCGCTCTACCACTGAGCCACAATCCCAGCCCAACAATGAAGTTTTTAAAATGTTTACTGATCATTTCCCTCCATTCCTATATGTAAGTAATTGAGGAGGGAGGTAACATTGGCAATATTTCCAAGAACTTCTAGCTAAAACATGTAATAAATGAAAAACAATGTAATCAAGTTCTAAGTAGAACTTTGGCATCCAATGCTTGTGCAATCATGCATGACACAAAATGTGTTAATAATCCTTTACTTGTATCAGTAATATCCATTAGGACAGAGAATTCTCCTTAGATTATTTGGTTTATATTTTATATCAAATACTAGATATTCTGACTTGACAACTACTATCAGACTAGGACTGTAGCTTACTAATAGATCACTTCCCTAACATGAATGAGGTTTTGCATTTGACCCTCAGCACTGGAAAAATATTTTAAAAAATAAAATAATATAAACAACTATTAGATTACATCAAATTTATTATATGAAACTATTAAAATATRACTATTTACTTCATTGTGCTAATTTTCACTTGTTCTTCTACTTTTCAATTCAAAAACATAAAGAATTTTATTTCCTTAAATTAGGGAAATCTCTTATTAAATATGCCTATTCTTAGATGTTTTTTGATTATCCAAAATTAATTTTTCCCATCATAATAAAAATATCCAGAAATGAAAAATGTAAATGACATTAATTTTGATCATGTGAGTTTACTTGATAGATGAATTTGAGTCTTTCTTAGACATTGAAGTGAAAATTTCTAAATATTCAAGAAATCACAGTAGGGAGGCCAACATTATTTACAAAGGATCATTTATTAAACACTTTTTTTTTTTTACAAAATACAAAGTTGTTCTGCTTGAATACATCACATATGAAAAAMTAATATATTTTATGAATTAAATTTGAAGATATTCAGAATTTTGTTTTTCATCATGTTTAACACCACTTCCAATCAAGAAGAAAACTTTTCCTTATTCATTAAATCATATTAATAACAACTAAAATGGTATAGAAATAAAATCAGACAATGTCTGCCATACAAAGCTCCCACTGCAAGGTAACTGATTTGCCTATGATCCTAAAATTTTTTCAAGCTATAAGATAGGAAGAGTTGAGGAGCAAGGCAAGTTTTAAAATAATGTATTAGCAGCAGTTGATAGTAGATGCAACATAAGATTTGTTTTGTCTGTGGTACAAGAATATGTCCTATCAGACTCTACCATATTTTTTTCTACTTGAACACAAGTAAGCATATACTGATTGTCTCTGAATGACAAAATGTATAAAACATACAAGAAGCTGGTTCTGGTTTTCAATGTGAGTGGCTATTTTCATCAGCTAATATGAATGCATTGCTAAAATTAGTGAAGACAGGAAAATGATTTAAGGGTAATATATACAGAGTTAAAATACATGTTTTATCCACTTGGTGATTTCAGGCACTGTGGCTGTTCAGGATAAAATACGTCATGATTTTTCTTGATAGCAATTTAATTATCAGTGCAAGCAAAAGCAAATACCTGCCCACTGTCACAAAAAAAATGACCTTGTACATTTGGAATGTTCAAAGAAAGTTCATCTTCAGATCTTCACTCTCCAGGCATCTTGAATAAAAATGTCTCATAGTTTGCTCTTGATAGCAATTTACTTTTCAGTGCAAGCAAAAGCAAACCCACACCTGCTCACTGTCATACATATGAYGACCAAACATATCTGCAATATTCAAAGCAAGTCCACCTTCTCCATCTTCACTGTGGAGGCATCCTCAATAAGTGGCCCTTAGTGTAAACTCTCTATAAATCATGAAACAAACTTGCGATGCCTGAACTTAATATTAAACACCACTGCCATAGTCCTCTCTGTGTAAACGATGTTTGGGTAAGGCTTGCCATCACAACATTTCTTTCCTGAGAATGGAGCTGGTCCTCTCTATGTGGATCATAAGTGTGCGTGCTCTGAGCTGTGATCACTGTCATGACTGTCTTCATTTGCTAGCGAGTCCCCTGTCTGCTGGAGGGTTGCCGCACCAATTCCTGAAAGCTCTGACGGGAGAAGTGTTCCTTTTTTCACGTTCACCAGTTCCTTTTCTCGAGCTGCAGCTCCTTGTTGTCCTCCTTTTACCCTCTTCCACTTCATTCTCCTGTTCTGGAACCACACTTTCACCTTGAAGCAGGAAAGGAAACAACATAAAGAGAGTTAAAATGGCACGTTGTTCTCTTTTTTGGCATTGATGCAAAAAACAGTGTTTCAAAGGTCTATACCAGACCTCCATAAAATAGTAGTGATAAAAATGATTCAACATTGAATTCAATCAAGTTGCAAGGCCACAGTAATATTTCTTAAACTCTCAGAATGTGCCAATAACTGTACTTCATATTTTTCAATATACATAATAAAGATATAAATAAATGAGAAAGAACTCTATCATGAAAGCTCATACAACAAGATTGATTTTCTAAAGAATTTCTGTATTTGTCCTATAGTCAAAGTTTCCCCACCTTCCCAAGTACTTCTTTGCCTTGCCATCTATGTGTCAATTCCTAAGTCAGTTTAAAACATGCTTGGGGGACTACAAAGAAGCTGTCTGAAAGGCCTTTCTATGCCATTAGAAGTGTTATTTGGATGAAATATTGAACTGAGATATTTCTCAGTCTGGACTTTTGTTGGTTTCCTTTGGGGCCATAATTGAAAGAATGTCTTATGTATTTCCCATACATATATGAATCAATTTGACAACAATGGATAAGAAAAAAACAGTAAGACAGATTGATTAAAAGCTAACTGATGGAAGGACTTGATGGTACACCTCAGTAGTAACTCACTTGCCTGATGTGTGCAAGATCCTGAGTTCAATCCTTAGTATCACAAAAACTAAAACAAATGGTTGGTGAGTGTTCACGTATGATTACTACACCTAACCAAAAGTCTCAGTAGTTGCCTTTTATTTATCCCTACTTGGGTATAGGTGGCATACCTGTACTGATAGTTGCATTATTTCTACTACTTTTCTATATAATACAGCATTATTTTTATTTTACAGATGAGGAAGTTGAGACAAAGGTTAAATGACTTGCCTAAGATTATGCAGATGGAAAATGTCATACCAAGATATAACCTAGAGACTTSTTTTGTTCCAGATTCTGGGGCTTTTTCCCCACTTTGGATCCTGCTATATTTCAAACTTCTATTTTTAAAATATTTAGTTTTTTTTAAATAAAGCATATAAAGTATGTGACCTCCATCCATATGATTACTATCATTCAGGTAATTCTCATACTTGATATAATTAGGTTTGTAAATATGACACTGAATTTTCCTGTGCTATAATTTAGGTAATTATRCTACTCAGTTTAATTACCTTTGCAAGCTTGACATTGCATGTTGCGTTAGATCTGTTCCACATGAGCTGGGTCCTACTTTTGGCCTCACTTCTGAGTTTTTGTGTGAATTTGAGAAAATTATACTTCTCTCTGCCTCAATTTTCATATTTGTAATACTGGAATAATGAGCCCTTCAAGATTCTCRGTAGGGAGATTTTCTCCATCAACAATTCCAGATGGAAGAAACACATAAGTCATTGCCATCATCATCACTGTCACCAAAAGTTGAACAGTCAGTCAAAATAATCTTTGCAGAATAAGAGGAACAGATCTCTTAAAATTCTGCACTTATTTCCTTTTCTAGGAGAAAGAGTATAGTAATTCTGTAATACCAGTATAAAATGTGCAAGTTTAAATGAGAAAGTGTAAGAGTGTGGTATTGATTTTAGAAATACCTTGGTCTACTTTGTGTTTTCTGTCTACCATGTGGAATTGTACTTTTAAAAACAAAAATAGACTGAGAGAAGATTTCATAGTTTTCCATGATATATATATATATATATATATATATATATATATATACATATATACATACACACACACACATATACAGAGAGATGTTTATATATACATTTATACACACATAGATATGCACATGTAAATATGTTAATATATACATATATATGGACATATATGTGCAGGTGAAAGCATTTGATGATACATCTTAATTCTAATTCCTTATACTATTTTCTTTAAGGGTGAGATTATATATTGGATATTGGAACTCCATGAAGTTAGTAATGGGACAAAAACAGCAGCAACCATAATAGACTCATCTTCCAGAAATGGAAGGAAAGGTGAAGATCTCTAGAAGTCATGGCACCCAGATTTATTATCCAATATGTTATAAAATAATGAGGTGAACTAAAATAGGCAAGGAAATTTTCTTTTTTTGAAAAAAAAMCCCATATTTCCATATTAGCAATGTAGTGTTAGCAATAAAAGTAATCCAAAATATAAATCAATATGCTTCTAGAATAATAGCACAGTATATTTATAAATAAAGAGACTTTATAATAATACCACATTAGATTTATAGATAAAAATGTTATACTTTAATTTAGTATCACTTCATGAATCCTGCTTCATTGGCTGAAATTGTTTTAAAAAGTTTTTTTGTGTGTGTGTGTGTTCTTGTTTTTAAAATGGACAAAAGCATAATTTCCAGGTACTTTACATTTCATTTTTTAAAATTAAGTATTCTAATGCTTTCTATTAAAATTTACATTTCATATAACAATCTCAATTTATAAAATTATGTAGAGTGAAAATAATCTCATATCTTTTGGATGAGTTGGTCATTATTTATTCATTCATACATTTAAAAGTATTACTGAATATACAATAACTGGCACTAAGTTAAACCAAAGATGAGAGGGGACAGAGAATGAGTGCATAAATCAATAAAACATAATCCTGCCCTTAAGGAATTCATACTGTTAAGAAAAGGGAAACTTCATAACAGGTACTTAGCTGGTTGTATAGGAGGCATTAGGTATATACTGAGATGTATAATGGGTAGCTCCAGATTTTACATAATATTCTTGAACTGCTGCTATTGTAATTGGTGTCATTGGCACATCTTGTTAGGAGATTCTCCCAGGGCTCCAGGACACGGCAGAGAGCTCTACCACTCCTCTCCGTGCCCCACACTGCTGTTGCCACATAATTATAGCAAGGGATTCCTTTTCTCTGGGAATCGCATGCTGTTGAAGTTCTTGGCATCCTGTGGCCTTCTGAGCTCACAGGATGTTATTAATCTGTTATTAATTTGCTTGAATTTCTCTACCCTAGTAACCAGGGTAGAACACTAGGTGCTGGGAAATTATTATCAAATATTTCATATACAACTAAGTATTTTATATAATTGAAACTCAAAATTGAAATCTTTGATCATGATACATGAATTTTGTGAACTATGATTGTTTTATTTGTGCTTCAAGTCAATTGTATCTTTTGTTATACAACTATTCTAGAACTTACAAGATACATAAGGGTATTTTTAATAATATTTCTTTTTTCAAGCATGGATCTAATGTAAGGTCCCATATAAATTGTATTTTGTCATATAGGATGGTTAAATTAAAGCCTTTATCCCAAGATCTGAGTAATGAGAAATGTTTTTTTTTTTTTTTATGAAATCATGGCAGTATGAACCAAACCTTATATTCTATTATAGCTCTGTGGGCATATAATTTTTCAACAAAATCTTCATAACAAAAATAACTAAAAGGTATAATAGCATATTGTCATGATAGCTAATACTTAAAGTGTACAATTCCAGACTTTAATTTCCAGAACATCTTTTTATTATGTCTCATTTCTCCTATAGTCAACAAACTATTTAGTGTTTACTATGCCTGTGTGATCAAACTTCTTTTTAATTAAGTACAAAAATATTTAATCCTATCCTGACTCTTTTTACAGAAGAAGGCAGCCAAAAGAATTTTTCTGTTATTAATTTGCTTGAATGATGAGAGAATTCAGAAATAATATTTTTGTCTCTCCAAAAATATGGTAAAGGAGTATTATTGTTGCCATTGGTGAACTATTGATTTAGATCTTTATTTAACTGATTTAGTCACTTATATTACAGCTTTGTATATATAAATTTATACCTGTTTTCTTAGGTTTCAAAATATATCACAAAAACAATAATTAAATATAAAACTGTACTATCACACAATTTACTAAGTTATCCAGAGGAAAATAGGTTTTTAGGAATTTCTACCTATATAATACTCTAAGCCATATTTATGTAATACCATAAATGTCTGTCTTTTGAAAGAACAAATAGACATAACACCAAACATCTGGATGAAAACTGAAAATTTCAGTGACATATCCAGCTGTTTCCAAACATCTGGAATTCGTAGATTTAATATTCCAACTGTTTCCATTTTTATCTTGAAATATTGTAGACACTGTCTAACAAATATTTATTCACATCTTTAAGATGTGAAAACATGCAAAGAATAATTAAACAAAATTTTTGGATTTAATGATTACATCCTCGGTGATTAAATTTGTTCATGGCAGTTATCTAGTAAACCCACTCTAAATAGGCACAAGAAAGACCCTCCCAGATAATTCGGTGGCAAAGTCAGTAGTGGAATTGAGAAATTAGAATCACGAATGCTTTATGTTAAGTACAAGAAATTAGGTAAAGAAAGCCTCTGCCCTGTCTATCTGAATAGATTTATATCTGATTAGAAGAAATTCTTCAGCTACTTCCAAGAAGCATGTTGGAGCTCCTAGTGRACTCTGCTGTTTCTACAGCAGTACACTTGGTTGGAATGTGTTGGTGTGCATGTTGGTATGTGTTGGGGATGGGATGGGGAGGGGAGTTAGGACAATTTTCATGCTGCACGGTGAATTCCTGATTGTAGTGATGCATCTCACCATTGTCCTCCATTATAGCACAACATGGATGACAGCATTTTCCTGCCTCTATAAATTTCAGTTCTGAAGCCTCTTTTTTCTCTATTTATAGTTCTTATGAACAGACTTACTAATTTAGTGAATAGTAAAATTTTGGTATTTTGAGTGTTTTGTAGGGGATGGGGTGGGGAGGGTATGCGGATTGAACTCAGGGGCAATCCACCACTGAGCCACATCCCCAACCCTATTTGGTATTTTATTTTAGAGACAGGGTCTCACTGAGTTGCTTAACTATTTCTCATGTTTTAAACAAACAGTACACATTAGCTATAGAAAAGTCATTTATTGAATGGAAACTCTTTTGGGGGAGGCCACAAATGGAATTCTCCATATTAATTTTAA